ATGATAATGATAATAATGATATAATAATGATGATATCGATAATAATGAAAATAATGATAATGATAATATCGATGCATACCTGTCCAGTCATTGCTGCCTGTGTTTGAACGATCAATGTCTCCAAGTTAATTTCCTTTCTTTCCTTCAGCAGCTTTTTCTTTGGTTCCTAAGCATGTTAAAGGGACTGTAAGCGTTATTTTCTGTGACCCTCAATGCAAAGATGACAATGTTCGAATTACAATGGTACTTTATACCTAATCAAGTATGAATTAGATATATCCATGTTTTTGGTTATTAAAACTTTTTCTTTTCTTTTGTGGTTTCTATGCATAAGTTTCTTTCTCATAAGAAATATCTATGCATGAAAATATGCTAACAGTCTCTTTAAGAAGAAAACAAAATATATTTAAACTTTTGAACTTCACCTTTTGAGTGAGTCAAAATTTAATGGGACAAAGTTTTTTCTGAAGTTGATTTTAACCGTACTTTCAAGTTACCCTACATGCACAGATGCCAATGTCCCATTTTCAATTTAGATTTGATTTTAATTTTATTTTATCTGACAAAAAATAAAAATGTGAATTTTTTTTACTGAATTAATTTGAGAACTGACCTGCAAACTAACAATACTGGTTTTTAATACTTCTATATCCTTCAAAAATTAATAACGTTAAAATCAAAAATGTTGCTACTTAATCTGAAAATTGTCCCAAATCTAAGTTTAAGAACTCCAGATGGGCCTTTTTAAAAATAAAGATAAAGTTAAATCAAAAATAGAAATAATAATTATGATAGACAAATCTCAAAAATAGTTTTGATTAAGAGATTAAGACAAATATAATCAATACAGAAATAAAAATCTAACTCTTGGAGCTGAACTCCAAATTATATTAATAATAAAGATTATATACATAACACTAATAATAAGGAAAATAATATTGATAAGAATAGTGATAAAAATAATAATGATAATAATATCTAACCTCAACTCCAAAAGTTTTCCATTCTGGAGAAGGCTGTTTTAGGATTAACCTTAACCCTGTCACCTCCTGTAGAGACACCTAGAGGTAATAATAATAAATATTTCGAAATCTAAATTTTTAAAGATTTTTTTGTATCTTTCGGTCGAGAACTTAAAGGTCTGAGACCGTTATGAATTTAGCCCTGGTGGTACATGCAAAATTTTAAATAGATGGGATAGAGGAGATGCCGCTAAATGAACGCAGAAAAACAGGACAGCCACAAAACAAGAAGATTGGAAAACAGGACAGCCAGAATAACAAGAAGATTGGAAAACAGGACCGTCAGAAAATTAGAAGATTGGAAAACAGGACAGTCAGAAAACAAGAAGATTGGAAAACAGGACAGCCAGAAAATAAGAAGATTGGAAAACAGGACAGCCAGAATAACAAGAAGATTGGAAAACAGGATAGCCAGAAAACAAGAAGATTGGAAAACAGAACAGCCAGAAAACAAGAAGATTGGAAAACAGGACAGCCAGAAAACAAGAAGATTGGAAAACAGGACTGCCAGAAAACAAGAAGATTGGAAAACAGGACAGCCAGAAAAGAAAAAGATTGGAAAATAGGACAGCCAGAAAACAAGAAGATTGGAAAACAGGACAGCCAGAAAACAAGAAGATTGGAAAACAGGACAGCCAGAAAACAAGAAGATTGGAAAATAGGACAGCCAGAAAACAAGAAGATTGGAAAACAGGACAGCCAGAAAACAAGAAGATTGGAAAACAGGACAGCCAGAAAACAAGAAGATTGGAAAACAAGACAGCCAGAAAACAAGAAGATTGGAAAACAGGACTGCCAGAAAACAAGAAAATTGGAAAACAGTACATCCAGAAAACAAGAAGATTGAAAAACAGGACAGCCAGAAAACAAAAAGATTGGAAAACAGGACTGCCAGAAAACAAGAAGATTAAAAACAGGACAGCCAGAAAACAAGAAGATTGGAAAACAGGACAGCCAGAAAACAAGAAGATTGGAAAACAGGACAGCCAGAAAACAAGAAGATTGGAAAACAGGACAGCCAGAAAACAAGAAGATTGGAAAAATGATTACCTGCATTCTGCATTAAATACTTGTATCAATTAATTTGTTTTATAAAAAACGAGAAAAAAATTGTTGATAAAAAAGATTAGATATTTTAATACTTTATTATTTATATTATGCTTTACAGGTAATAAACTTAGGAGTTAATTAAAAAGAACTTGTGACTTGTCGAGCTAATTTCTGCCTTTCAATCAGCTGCTTATTTACCATTGAATCAGCTGATTATCTACCTGTGAACTAGTTAATTATTTACCAGTGAATCAGCTGAATATCTATGTATAAATCAGCTGATTATCTACTTAAGAATAAGCTTATTGTTTAACTTTGAGTCTATGAATCAGCTGATGAGTGATGATATATCTGTAAATCAGATGATTATTTACCTTTAAATCTGCTGAATATCAACCTATAAATCAGCTGAGTATCTACCTTTATATCTGCTGATTATCAACCTATAATTCATCTTAATATCGATCTTTAAATAAGCTGATTATTTATATTGTAAATCAACTGATTTTCTACCTTTAAACTTGCTGATTTTCCATATAGTAAATCAGCTAATGGTCAAAACTCTAAATTAGCTGATAATCCAGATGTGATTGTGAATCAGCTGATTATTTGCATTATCAGATTATTTGCATTAGCAGATTATCTACATATACGCTGATGATCAAACTTTAAATTTGCTGATGTTCTATACTGTAAACTAGCTGATTACTATCCTGTAAATCAGCTAATTATCTACATAGGGGAATTAGCTGATAATCTATACCTGTGAATCAGCTGATGTTAAAGTCACGTGATCTTGGCTTCCAGACTCATAATGAGGATTCTCCATCAACACTTTGTTCCTAATTAATCAATCAATTGATTAATTAATTGATTTTACAGTCGTCGTCGTTTATATCAATACAATAAAGACGATTTTCGATTTAAATTTTTTATTTCTACCAAGCTTATAAACAACATGAATACTCATAATCATGGAAGCAAAGAGAAGCTGTCACTTAACAGCTTCTCTATAAAAAGGTTGTTAGAAATTCAAATTTAAATCGAAAAGTCGTCTCAATTGTATTGATATAAACGCTGACCAATGTAATTGATTACGTAGATAACTAATAAATTAGTAGGAAATTACCTTATTGCTACAATCCAGTCCAGAATAGANAATAAATAAATAAATAAATAAATAAATGAATAAATAAATAAATAAATAAATCAATCAATCAATCCTAAATTATTAATTACCTCCTCTAAGGTTTCAGGCTCCGCAAAGGAAAGATCTGAGAAAAAAAAGAAAGATTTTATTTTACAGGATTATCCACAAAGGATGAGACTTCAGAGAGAGCTGTACGGAATTTTATATTTATATTAATCCAGAAACAGTATTCTTATTTCTTTCATTAAATAGGTCATCAAAATCATTTGATTAAACCATGAGATCATCATATTTTTAGTTTCAGGTCGTCTTTACTTGAATAAGAAGAAATAAAATATTACCTATTACCGAACATCCTGTACCACTGTTGGATGAATACTCTTCAAACTAAAAGAAAATACAAAAACTTTTTTTCTATCATTTTTATCAAATCCTAAAATTTTGAGATATTTTGTATAAAATCCTCAAAAATATCTAATCTAATGTTGCGCTGACCATAGAAATAAAACAGTTAATAGTTACACATGATTCAAAATGTCTTCCATTCTGTTGGAAACATTTCACCCACCACTCTAATTCTCAGAATTATAATTAATATCAGACTTAAACAAATACACCTCTTAGAAAAAACACAATGTATGATACTCAGCTTTGTACTGAACAGCTCTGCATTGTACAGTTCTTTACTGGACCGCACTGTAATGTACTGAACTGCACTGTACTTTACTTCACTGTACTGCACTGTACTGCACTGTACTGTACTGCACTCTATTGTAACTGTACTGTTCTATACTGTCCTGCACTGAAATGTACTGTACTGTACTGCAATGTACTGTACTACACTGTACTGTAATGCATTATACTGTTCTGCCATAGATAAATAAATAAACATCGATAGCTTATGTCCGCGAACTAATACTTCTAGGGGTCAAATTGTACTTCAATGATAAGCGGAGTGGTTTGGTGTTTTAATGGATTTCTTAATAGAGTTTAAAATACATAGATAAAGATAGATTGCGCATAAGACGACATTTTTCATCTTTAAAGATATAAATGTACAGAGATGTTTTAAAGATATTCCTATTATATAGATTAACTAGGTCGGTTGTGANACTGTAATGTACTGTACTGTACTGCAGTTTGTATTAGAAAATGAAGGTGTATTCTTCTGTAATAATGTGCGGGTGGGGGGGAGCTTGATGGTAGATTAGCATATATAAGGTTCTTTGTGTTTAACCAGCAATCTGATGTTCTCTCTATTAACTCTCGAGGATAATGGAAATTAGAAGTCATAATCGGATCTGGTCACAATCTGAACATAAAGAATACTAAAGGTGTTTGACTCGCTTTTACCACGAGGGTCCGCGAGATGAACAGTTTTCTGATCATTTTCAGCTCACATCATGGTTGTTTCTTCTTTTCTGTTTCTATATCGACTATCTAGCCTGCTTTTCGCAGATTGCCAAAATTAGGACTAATTCAAAGATAGTAATATTTGACAATTTAAACACTTTTAGGCATCAAAAAGATATAAAAGCAAAAACATGAAAACATATTAATAACTTTTGTTTCAAAGGATCTAAACACCTGGTTAGCTCGGCAGCATAATGCTGAGCAAAAACATGCACACAGGCTGATTTTTTTTACTTTCTTTCAAATACTTCTAAAATTCATATTTTCTTGACCATTGTCATTTGTCATAAATTAAGCATGATATAAAAGGTTTATAATGTCGTAACTTTAATGTGAAATCCAAACAATTGGGATCCCAACAGAGTATCAACTAACGTTTGTCTGGTTTGTAAATAAGGTATAGGAATGAGAAAGGACCAATGGGAGAAGGTAAAATAGGTTGGGAAGTGGAAAGGATATCAACTAAAGAGGATGTTGGGATTGGGATGGAAATCAGCTGTAGAGAAATTTGGGATTGGAAGATCTGGTATTAGGAATCAGTGAGTACTGCACTTTAATGCACGGTGCTTCACTTGTACTGCAGTACATTACAGCACTTGTATACCTGTATAGGAATTGAACCCTACTGTACGTTATGTTTGTTTTACCTGTATAGGTGTAGGACCCTACTGTCTGTTATGTTTGTTGTAACTGTATAGAGTAGGACCCTACTGTCTGTTATGTTTTTTGTAACTGTATAGAGTAGGACCCTACTGTCTGTTATGTTTGGTGTACCTGTATAGGAGTAGGACCTTACTGTCCGTTATGTTTGTTGTACCTGTATAGAGTAGGACCCTACTGTCTGTTATGTTTGTTATACCTGTATAGGAGTAGGACCCTACTGTCCGTTATGTTTGTTGTACCTGTATAGGAGTAGGACCCTTCTGTATGAACGGTACAGAAACCATGCTGGGAGCCATTCTTTTTTTAGTTTTCTTTTTACAACTGAAAGATAATAAACAGTGAGACCTAAAAAACTGGTAAAAGAGTACGATATATAAGCAATCATATGTTTATTTAGATGTTGTTAAAAAGCTCATCGTTTTCCAGTTTGCTTGAAAATCAAACTTATTTCCTGAAATGGGTCTGTGTATACTGCACACTTGATCACAATTGTTCATTGGACTATTTACAATCATTACTTGAGTATAACAGTCGTTTTCCTATTTCTTATTTTATGGGTCATACCAAATAGATTATCAAGTACAATAGAGGGAAACAGAGAAATGAACCAATTATACAAGACGTCACAAGTGTCAAATATAACAAGTAAAACGAAATTGTCTCACATTAGTTGACATGTTTTCCAAGATAAAATAAAAAGTGTAAAAACCGAAAATAAAGAACACATCAAATTTCACTTATTTTACTATAAGATAAGCACTTTATTCTAAAAATATCACTATTATTAATAATTTTGTCGGACACAAAAACTGAGTTGACTTAAGAATACAACTGTACCGAGTGTACAAATTCTACGTTGCCATCTATTGTACTAGAATCTATTTGGGTCAAACTGTAATGATTTGGTTTCATTGGAGTTGGAACACATCCCACATGCGCACCTCTGACCCTTTAGTAAAAGTAAATTCAACTTAAAGTCTGACCGCATCAACCTTGTTGCACCGGCTAGTCCTGTCCATAGAGCTAGGTACAGTACAAACTGGGACCGGAAAGGTTTACCCGGCTCGGAAATTCAAATGTACTACGGCTGCCCGTGCCCAGTACATGAGATTTATGTTTGTTAGAAGACTAACACAAAATAAACCTAAATCAAAGACGTTTAAAAATTGCGAATATTTTGATTTTATATATTTAAGAAACAAAATTAACAGAAACAATATTGTAAGCCGCCACTGACTCTGTTATAGAATAACAAAAAGTATTTTGAAATTGTGAACATTTTTTAAACGAACATAAGAACATTTTGTAAACATATTAACATACTGATGCATCTATTCTTGTTTACAAATTCCTCCCAAAGAGAACTGGTTTCAAATTTCAATGTGTACGCAGAGAATACACGACCGCAATTAACTTTCCTTGCATTATAACCTTAAACGTGACTTTTTAGGCTCATACCTAGGAACAGGTCACATCAAAATAATGTAAAGTTTACGTCAGATTCAAATCTTTTTTCAATCTTATTGAAAAGCTTTAGAATTGGTTTCTCTTATACTTTAAATTTATAAATCTGACTATAACAGTGATAACCAAAAAACTCTGGAATAGGAAGACGACTTTTAAACACCAATTTTGAATTTAAGTAGTCAAATGAACATGAGACACAGCAATTGTGCATTGTAAACAGACCCATTTAGCTAAATAAGTGATTTAATACCTTATTAGTAAAACTTTTTTCTTTATAACAACATCAAATACACTTTAGTATTTATTTAATGTCACCTTCCTATTCCACAGTTTTCTGGTAATCACTGTATGTTTTGTGTACAGTTTGTGTGTCTAAGGGACAAATAAAAACTGTTCAATATAGATACTCTAAACAGATTTTGTATAGTTCTCTTATTGATTAGACAAGTTCTTGGTTAGATAGATAGATAGATAGATAGACAGAGAGATAGATTTATATTCATATATATATTAATTATATTGTTTCAGATTACTGAATGATTCTAATGATGATTTTTATATTCTTTTCTCTCTCTTATTCCAACTTAACAATACTCCGCTAATTCCTTCCAAAATGTCGTCTTCACCCCTTATCAATATTTTTATCCACTAAACTACATATTCTCCATAGTTTTTTTTACACGTATTTTATTATATCTGTATACATTTTTATCCACTAAACTACATATTCTCCATAGATTTTATACACATATTTTATTATATCTGTACATTTTTATCCACTAAACAACATATTCTCCATAGATTTTATACACATATTTTATTATATCTGTACATTTTTATCCACTAAACAACATATTCTCCATAGTTTTTATACACGTATTTTATTATATTCTCTTTCCAATACAGTGGTCCCCATGAAACATCTATCATTACTCAATCTTCCCAATTACTCCAACTTCCAATTTACCAACCCTTTTTATCATCCTAACATTCATTGAATCCCCACCCCAACTTCCACTTCTGTTGATATCCATTCCAATTCCCAACCTATTTCATCTATTCCCAATTGGTCCCCATCTAACCTATTCCAACTTCTTAGTCATCATCCTAATCCCAATTCTTCCAATCCCGACATTGGTTAACATTCATTTGGGATTCTTATAGTTTGGGATTTTACGTAAAAAATCAGAAAAAAATGTTTTATATTATTGCCGACTTTTTGCATGACAAAATATTATTATTTAATATTATGATTAATTGTTTCATGAGTGCTATTTTAAAACACCTTTATCACACCAGTTATATAGTCCATCGTCCATAATCTCAGACTTTGCGAGATGAAAAGTTTCTAAGTGACAAAATAATAGAAAAGAAAAATTATTTTAATCTTTTTTTTTCCTTTTTTTCGACGTTCGTATCTGGTCTGAAGTTTGTACTGGATCGACATTTGTACCAGTCTGATCTTAACTTTGTATCAGTCTGATGTTTCTACCAGTCTGATATTTATATCAGTCTGATGTTTGTATCAGTCTGATGTTTGTATCAGTCTGATGTTTGTACCAGCCTGATGTTTATACCACTTTGATGTTTATACCAGTCTGATGTTTGTACCAGCCTGATGTTTGTACCAGTCTAATGTTTGTATCAGTCTGATGTTTGTATCAGTCTAATGTTTATACCAGTCTGACGTTTGTACCAGTCTGATGTTTGTACCAGTCTGATGTTT